TTTAACTTTCCGAAATTCGAGGAAGAGTATGTCAGAGGTTTCTAGCTGGCGGAATTTCGAGTGATCAATTACAGCACGAAACGGCAAAAACGCATGATCGCGCGGACCCGTCCAGTGCGCGTCGCCAATAATTTTTATTAAATGGGAGGATGACATGTGAGACGGGAACACACTCCTAAAGTTCAGTTTCCCAGCTTTTTGGGGTAACAAAGAACCCTCACTTTTCCAAACACGCGTACACACGCACCTACAGGCCCTCGACAATATGCTTTTTTCTATTTGCAAAAAGGCATGATCATTGGAGCCGCGCACCAGGCGGGCGCTGCGATCATCCATTTTTGCACTTTTTCGTGCTGTAGTAAGGTCGCTTAGAATCCCAGCAGCTAGAATTTGCGACACACCGATCCTTAAAGTCCAGAAAGTTAATTGCGGCATGACACTTTGACAAAGAACATTCCTTTAAAATTTCAGTTTTCCAGCTTCCTGGTTCCCAAGTTAGCAATTTCCCGCCAAAAATTTTCACGGGCCCGTACGTGAAGATCACGCACACCTAGGGGCTGAATTTGAAATCTTTAAGTTTTATGTGGGCGGGGGACATCCCATTACAGTTTCAGTCGTCCAGCTTTTTTGGCTCAGTTAGCAATTTTCCCGTCAAAACTTTCGCTTGCTCATACGCGGGGTCCAGATGCGCGTGAAGGTTGATACCGCTGTCCTGAGGTGGCACTTGGACGAGGAAACCACTGGCAAAATTTTAGCGCCGGAGCTTGCTTGGTTGCCGAGTTGAAATACTCGGATACACATACACACCATGTCACAATACGTGTTTTTGCATGTACATACAAAACGCACATAAATGACCAACACTTCAACGCACAACGCAAGGAGAGTAGAAAGGCGCATTGTGCAAACTTTTCGAACGAAAGATATAAAAGGAGAAGATCAGTCGAACTAGTTCATTTTTAATCTTTTACATTTCGTAGCTGGTAGCATCCGTGGACAACTCAAAACAAGCGAGCGATGGCGCCTCGAATGAAGGTATGCTGTATTAATGGAACCAGTATCCACTCGCGTGCGAGGATATTAGAAGAAACTGCTGGAGCATGCATCTCTGCTGCTGCTTGTATGCTTTCACATGCTCTGGCAGAGTCCAGTTCCATACTCGCGCGTTGCTAATGTTTTACGGGGCGCCCCCAAGAAGGATTCAGCTTTAGCCGGCGAGCCGGCCTCGACTTTCTTCAGTCGCCTTCTCTGAAAATGCGACATTTATTTGCATAAGATCAGCCGGTTTGTAGCGGCCGGTGATGTCGCGTGGCCGGAATGTTTGTTCCGTTGACGATCGCAAGGTGAACAAGGGAGGCGCCAAAGCGGTAATGGCTGTGGCAGAAATCCGCGCGCCAATCGGAAAAAAATTCGTTCGCCAGAAAACCACTGTATGTTGCGTATTGCACTCATATTATAAATAAAGTAGGCAAATGGCAATAATAATGATAATAAAAAATTACTTACAGAACAAGAGCCCAAACAGTGGAGAAAGAGAGAACGGGGACCTCCCAAGCTCTCCCTCCACGCAGGAGCAGTTAATACAGTGTTAAAATATTCCCTCAGAGACAAAGTACGACAAACATATAAATTCAGTACGTAAACATTAAGACATAAAATTATAGCAGAATTAATTGGTTTCGCAACTGTCACTCCAAAAATGTTTGCTTTTTAACCGCAATGTATTGAAGGTTCGGGAAAGTAAGAAATTGGCCATGGAGAAAGGGAAGGGACGGACAGTGGTAGAAAAAAATTTACTTCGTCTTCCGGCACAATACGAGCTTTCAAGATTTCTTTGTGGAAGGTGTGAACACCGTTCAGGAGAAAGATGATAAGTCGAAAATGGTGTCCGAAACGGTTTACGAGCAGTGGATGGATTCTGTGATTGAGAACGGCGTGAAAAATATACGCCGAGAATACTTGGAACTGGTGCGCAGCTATGTGCCAAGCGGAACTCAACGAGCTTGGGAATCAGACAAAAACTACGATAAAAACAGGCAAAAGATAGATTCTTTCAGTTTATCCAGCATACGAGTGCTGCAAAGGGCTTCGCGAGTCGACTTCGTGAGAAAAGCCCCTTCCAGCCACACTTCGCTTAGTTCGTCATGCTTTTCCGTTACACTGTATGCTAAAATTCAGATACGATGATATCCGTGTGCTAGACGAAACAAGAGTCGTCCTGAAGCATTGCGGTAACATTTATTTATGAAAACCGTTTTCTCTACTGCCAACCGTTTTGTACCTTTGTTCAGTTTCGCAATCTTTAACATAATTGGCCAACGCACGGACTGCCCGTGCGAAGATGCGTTTTTTGCATAGTTCCCCGCAGTTTTT